CTTGCTTTTATGTGTGTGCGTGCTGCGCCCAGTTCCGTTCCCGCTGTGCCACCGTGTCCCCCCTTTTTGGTTCCACGTCTGTTGCATCGTTTGTTGCCATTACCCGCCTGGCCTGTCACTTCCGCGCTCCGTTAATATTTATGTTTTGCCAACGCTTGTCTTCGCTCTTAACGCAACTTTATCATCGTCTACGTCTGCAGCAGGCATGAGAGAACCCTGGAACCCGGGCCCAGCATCGCAACATTATCGTGAAGGGCTCAAACAGAAACTTTCGCCAGTGACTGGGCTTCCTGCTCTGACTCGCTTTAGTTGACTTCCGGCCGTGCACTTTGCCGTCCGGCGGACATTCAATTTATCTTTATTGGAGCGCAAGGCAAACTGCTAACATATGTTTCCCGCCCCCGGTTTCCGCCATTACCATATGGTCCAGGCCCGTGTCCTGTTTTCATTAGACTTTAAATCGGTCGATGGGTCGAGCATCTGCATCGTTCGCACCTAGGCCAGCCTTGGGGTCACTTTACGAGCGTGGCATTAAATTTTATATATATTCTCCGTTTCGCTTTGGCAGCGTGTTGGGGCCATAAAAAAAAGTGCGCTTGCCAAAACTCATGGCACCACACCCTGCGTCCTGGCCTAATTGACCGCCAATTGGCACGGCAGAAGTGGGGTGGGTCGACACGGGGCCGAAAAGTGCATCAATAAAATCGGTGTTAAGTTGATTGGGCACTTTGATGGGCCCTTTGATTAGCAATGGATACGATCTGGCAGTGATGGTATCGGAAATCTTGTTTTTAGCCAATTACTTGGTAAAATTATGGGAAAAAGGCCAAGAAAATTTAATCTGTAGGAAAGGTAAATGCTTTCCTGCCAGCAGAAAAGGGAATATTTAAGTTAAAACTGGAACTATCAATGCTTTTATATGCCTAAATAGATTTGTAATTGATTGAAATCAAATGTGTTTTCAGCTCTAAAGCCAAATTTACATTTCAAGGATGTTTCTTAGAATGACACGTATACAATTTTAGTCTTTTAATTTAATAAAGGTGAGAGAGTATGCAAAAATCTGTAAGGTTTAAGGCAGTGTGAAAAAGCTTACATTTCTGCTTCGGAAATCCAAATATTTTCATGAATTCTAAGATTAATTTCATCACATCACCCATAAATCATTTTTAAAATTAGAAACCCCCACTAAATTCCACAAACTAATCTAGCGTGAGTCAAGCAAACACCAAATTAAACCACTTGCCATTTCAATGGCTAACAATTAAGTACTGAAAAATTCGTGATAAACACTTAATTTGCATAAAAATTAGTATTTATATGCGGCACGAAACAAATGCCCAGAGCTATAAATATTAATTTGTGGCACACACACACATAAAGTCTTGATTTAAACACAGATAAAATACCACGAAAACGGTGTCTAAAAAAGGACAGTGTAAATTAAATTAAATGCGACAGCTGAAATAATATACACAAAACAAATAGTTTCGACTGGGGGTCGACTGGTCGACTGGTGCCCACCCACGGCGCAGGCGGCAATTAAGGAGCCGGACCCGAGCAGCCCGGAGTTAAATTGCACACACCGAGTGTGCGGAGTGGCACAGCAATCACCGCGCTGGGCTGACCACAGAAATTGTTGCTTTTGGGCGGACCGGAGGAGACCGTTAATTTAGCTGGCAAATGGTAAATGGCAAATGTCAAATGGCGAGCGGTCGAACGAGGCATCGTTAGCACCCACGCTGTAGGGCTATATCCTGGCAATGGCGATGGCGATGGCGATATGTCCGGCCGTGTCCTGCCTTGACATGAAATTTTAATATCGCCTTTAAATTTAAGTAGCCCAGCGAGGTTTTTGCATTCAGCTCTTGGCAGCGTTTCAATTGGACTTTCCCTTTTTATTTTCTCTTCTTTATTTATATTTGTATATCCTTGGGAAATGTTAGTATGTGTGTGTTTAGGAGGCCAAATGTCGCGTCGATAAATTTCTTGTGGATTTGCCGCCTTTGGCTGACTCCGATTTATTTATTTATATTGAGGCCGCCGTTGCTTTGATTTTATTATGTTTGCCGCCGTCTCCAGGTGGGCGTCCTACAAACAAACCAAACCAAAAAAACAGAAAAAAAAAAACAGAAAAAAAGGAACCCCAGTTTGGCCTTTGATTCCCTTGGCGATGGCATTTCACCCAAATATAATATTTATATAATTTCAGCAGAATTGCGACGAAAGAGGGATTTCTATTTGCATACAGAAAGCATATTTCAATCAGGCCAAATCCGAGGCGAGCGACATGTGCAAATATTTGTTTCTTAACTTTTGTGTTTGCCAGAGCCTTTGTTTTGCTAATGATGATGACCCGAAAAGGAGCATATATGTACATACATATAGAAATATGTAGAAGGGGCAACTTTTGGTCCTGCAATCAAAAGTTGCGTGTGTTGAGAGCAAATTGTGTCAAGCGGCGTTAAAAATGCATTGTACACTTTTCTTCAGGAGCGCTTGTCGCCTGCTCGCTGGTCCTGTCTGTTTGTTTGCCAAGCAATTTGGGCGCAAGATGAAATAGTTCTTACTCTTTTGTATTTTCTTTTTTTTTTTTTTTTTTGGCATAATTTTAGCAACAAAGGCAAGGGCATGCACACAGACACATACACGAGCACACTCGCACACACACACCCGAGTCGCAGAGAGCAAGTGCAAATAGTGTAAATGTCCTTGAAAGAGCCAACAACTTTGGCCCTGGCGCCTGCTTGCAACAAAAACAAGAGGGAAAGGCAAAACACAGAAAAGGGAGCCAAGAAGCGCATGTACAGGTGAAGGATTTACACGATTAAATGATGAAGTTACTCCATGGCATAGCCCACTTTTCGGGGCAACGCAATCGATTTTGCGGCTAAAGCAATTTCTGGCCATAACGAGCTAAACTCGTGTATGCACAGCAGCGAAAATTGAATAAATTAATTCATAGAAAATTATAGAGATTTAGCGTTGATTGCCGGGAAACCAGGGGAAATGACAGGACTCAGGACATAGGACAGACACAGGCAACAAGCCCGCGTGGCGGAGCGACACACGTTTTCTGAATGCACAATTATTAAATAGGCTGACAAAAGGCTGACGGGGATTGGGAGTGGGTGTGGGGTACGGTAGACAGTGGTGAGCGAGAGGAGACAGCGGGGGGCATGGCGTCGTTTTTACTCGTTTTGGCCACATCACATGTGCACATTTCGCAGAGAGCACTCGAGAGCGCTGCTCCTGGCTCTCTCGTATCGATCCGCAAAACGAGCAAAAGTCAACTGGAAACTGGAAAGCAACCACCGAAAAGAAGCAGCACATCCTGCTCCATGCCTCCCAACCGAAAACGAAACCCAAACCGAGACCGAGACTGAAACCGAGTGCGAGGACGAGTACGAGTCTGAGTCCGAGTCCGAGTCCGTGTCCTCCTCTCGCCTCCTCGCCGCTGACATTGGTGACAGTTTTTCTCTGGTCAAAAAACTGAATGTACAAAGCCCAGGGAGGAAGGGAGGAGGGTCGGCCCCAGAATGACTCAACATTTTGTGGTTATGCAGGAGCCACGTGCAAATTATTTTTATAGAAATACAAAAAAAAAAAAAAAAACAACCACAACGAAAGCTGGCCCAACTTGTCAATGTCAATTGATAGTGAAAGCAAGCGAGGAGCAGCTGGAGGATGGGGCGTGCTAGGCGTGACACATCACGGACTCCGCCAAAGACAACGGGCAGCAGCTGTTGGCAGCTGGCTGGAAAACGTGCTCCCCAGGATTGACATCCTGGCATAGCACAGACACACAAACACACTCACACAATTAAATATTAATGCGCGAAATTAAGTGAAAAACGGCAAGGGCATTAGTTGACTTGGGCTTGTCGAAAGGATTAGCCAGCGCAACTTGTGGCATTAGCAGGCCATCACACCAAGCTTAACTTGCCGAAAAAAGCTACCAAATTGGATTTTACTTTTATTTTTGTCTCCGTCGTGGCAGGAATTGAGGTGCCTCTTTTGTTGACACGGAACGAAAGAAGCTAAACTGAATTTTTGGGTGCGGATTGTTTGCCGGAGATTGATGAAGTGTCCCAGCAAAAACAACAGGGGCTGAGAAGGTCAAATGATACGAAGAGTGGAGAGGAGTAAAAATGTGGAAACACAATCAGTCAACTTGAGGCGGAAGAAACTATGAACACATAGCAAAACTGCGGTTTGCGGAGACAGTTGAAGGATATGTCAAGGGGTTTTTTCATTAAGTAAACCAATCTTGATGTCAGAAAAGACGAAAATTAAACTTTGTACTTTATAGAATCCAAGAACATAAGTTTCCTAGTAAGTACCTGTAAGGATTTAAAGCCATCAAATCGGTAAATTTTATAATATCCGTTCAGAGAGCAGGACTTAGATTATGATTAGGAACAGCTACATATTAGTCTGAATTCCCGAAATAATGAAATTGAAACTCGCCTTTGAACTCTCCTCGCAACTCAATTAACAATTCCACGAACCATTGCAATTCAAAAGCAATTTAACCAATTTTCTGTGCATTTAAAACGAGAAGGGGAAATAGAAATTGCTTGCCATAAAAGTTGAGGCCAGTCAGGGAATAAATCAACTTGGTCCGTGCGAAAACGAAGCCGTAAATATACGGGATATATGATATATAGGAGACGAAACGAAATTATCGGGCTTTTGGTTTTTCAGTTTAAGCAATTATGTTCGGTCACGTGAGAGGGTGCGGAATGCAATGAAATATGCAGGAGGAGCCGCTGCTGACTGCCAGCTATGATAAATGTGGCACGGAGGGCAGGACCAGCGCCTCTGCCCAGTGCAGTGTTGGGCCAAATGTTAAAAGGTACAAATTGCAAGGTCACATTGGCACGCCATGTCAAGAGTCGGGGCAAAGTCAGGATTCGGAGTCACGGAAGACTAGAAGAGACTACACGACGGATGATTCTACGGATACAAGAACGTGGAGTCAAACACACGCTACTCACCTTTTGCCAGCTTCCTCGCCCTCGAGTCCCTCGCCGCCGGCGGCTGCTGCTGCCTCCGGATCAACAGCGGCGGCCACCGCCTCCGAAGATGTGGAGGCGGCTGCTGGTGCGGCTGCGGCCGCCTCTCCTGTGGGCGCGGGCACGTCCTCGTCGCCAGCGCCGCCCTTCACGGCGCCCACCAGCGACGTAAATTGATTTGTTAGGCCCGAAAACATGTTCGCTACTGGTTACTGGTGCTGGTGCTGCTCCCGCTGCCAAGGATTAGCCTGCTCGCTGGTTGTGTGTTGGCTTGAGTGTGTGAGAGGTGGCTCCCAACCAGAAAACGTGCGCACGTTCGGCTCTCTCGTCGCTCGGTCTCTCGCTCTCTATTGCCTGGCAGATGCTCTCCCGCTCCTTGCGCCAACTTTATTACACACTGGGCAGAATGTATTTTGTAATGGGTTTGCTGATTTTCGTTCAGTGTTTCGCACCACAGAAGTTTCACTTTCAACGCTCGGCGTTATGTAAATTCTCGCATTTAACTTTTTGAGACTCGCTTTTCACGCTGCAGCAAGACGGTCGGTTGGATGGATGGATGGATCAATGGAAGGGAAGAGAAGAGCCGAGCTCAGGTTTAGTTGCAAAATGACGTTGCACAGCGTTGTGCGTGGCGGCGGTGGGGAAAATCAATAAAACGGGCATAAATTTTGAACGGCCTGAAAAACGGGGCACAATTACACGATACTATGTACTACGCTACGATTCGATCGATTTTCCACATGGACACGCTCGAGTTTTTCTTTTCTTTTTGCACATCGACAACAATGACAACAAAAGCAATCTCTGCGTCGCAGCCAATTACCACTTGAGCTTTTTTCCCTGCCAAAACTGTGGATTTTCTTTGCGTTCAAGGAGACGTTGGATTCTCGGCTGCCCACTTCGAAGGTCCTCTGAAAACTGACGGAGCAGCGGAATGTCGTTGGCTCAAATAGCGAGCTGCCTGCTGCTATGGCGTTGGGCTTCGGGCGTCCTCTCTCTAGCTTCGCTTTCTCCCTGGAAAAGCGCAGCTTTCCCACTCCGCCTGTTTCCGCTGTCTTGGCTGGTGGTGGGTTTTCCTTTGTGCACTGGAATGTCCGTCGCTGGGTGTGCGCATGTGCCGTTTTTTAGCGTTGTTAACTCGCAATTAGACAAAGCATTTGACACGTATAAAAACAAATAGTACGCAGCAAGAATCTTTGTTATTGTTTGTATATCTGGAAATAAAATCGATTCTATAATCGACTATCGAAAAACAAATAGTCGACCAGAGATGGGCAGCTTTCGATAGCAAGAATCTGACTTTGTTCTTGAATGAATCGATGACTGATGGCGCCTATCGGAACTTTAAGCGGTTGTTTGGAATGAATTTTTCCAATATTAAAAAGATACAAGCCGAAACTATAGACCCTTAAGGGGATTACTACATCCTAAGTCGGTTAGCGAGCTAAGTTTTAAAGCTATCACGGTTCAGGTCCCTAGCAAATGGAAACACGCTCAACATCATGTTCGTAAAACTCTATTTACACCAACAGACTCTCAGTTTTTGTACTTAACATAGTTTTATATCAATTATCAGCTAATTAGTTCGATGCGAGGCAATTTGTAGTTTCAGCGACGCTGCCGCGCCCTGCTCTGCGTCACCTCCTCCTCTGGCGCTTCCGCTGCAGCCTCCGTGGCCTTCGATTTCGGCGTCTGCTGGGCCTTTATCTCGTGATCTATCCGTTCCTTGGCCCGGAAGACTTTTGACTGGAGGTAGAAGGAGCCGCCCTTGGACCGCTCGTTAACGTTAAACAGATGCTCATAGTTCTTGACGACGCCTTCCACGTTCTTGGTGTCCTCCACGTTCAGTATCTGCTTGGCTTCCTCCAGCGTCATGCCTACAAAAAAGTTGCCTTAGCATTGCAGCTTTGCTTGGAAAAACGAACTCCTTACCTGTACGCAGGTTGGACTCGGCGCTCTTCTCGCCCTGCTTGCCGCCACCCGCTCGCCGAGCGGCCTCCTGTGAGGCGGCAATCTCCTGTCTCAGCGCTTTGGTGAAGGCCCGTCCCACCGCCTGGGCGCCCAGCACGATGATTTGTGCAATATACTTGGCCATGGCGGGTGTGTTTTTGTTCCGTTTGCTGCTCGGCCTTGGACCTTAAACTTGTGGCAAGCTGGGATCCGGCTGAATTTCGGGTGCCTCGAAAACGTGTTGCTGAAATTACGCAATAGCTGATTTACCACCGGTGCTGCCGCTTCCAAGTTGGCTTTACCTTTGCTGAAAACAGAAATAGAGCGCTGTTAGAAGAATAAATGCATTGATTAATATTATTATTTAATTACCAGCCGCTGCAACGAAATTGTTACGTCCGCCAGGTAAATTTCCAAAGTTTGTTTCGGTGAAAAGAAGAACAAGTTGGCAGCGCCGTATCTTGGAGATGGAAGTTGCCCCCAAATATCGATATTTTCAAGCTTTTTTCAAGCTAAATTTAACTTTTACTGTGTGACGACAAAACTTTTAAATTTAATTTATTTTAAAGGGTTTAATAAATATTGACATTTAAATATTTGAATACCCACATCAATGTTTATGTTTCCATGAAAAATAAATATATAAATAATCCCTAAATATATTTTGGTGGCAACGCAGATAAATCTTTTATAAATAATAAGATCCTAAAAACAATAATATTTTATGTAAAAGTAACTAATGAAGACCGAAAAGTTTTTAAAAATATTTTATTACAAATTCTAGCTATCTTATGAAATATATCGTCTATCGATAGTTGGCGGCAACTTTCTGCTACTTATAATTTTTCAAAATTTCAAAATTCGTAAGATAAACAGATGGCATGGCATTGGGCCCGAAATGGGAGAAAGCCTACGAGCGATTGGCTCAAGCGCACTACCATGACCAGCAGCAGGTGGAGATCCTGCAGCGGCAACTGCAGCGACTTAGGGAAAAGAGGCATTGCCTGCAGAAGAATATTGAGTATGAGAGTCACAACACCGAAGTGTGGATGCAGATAATGGCCACCATGCGTCGGGAAGTGGAGCGGGTTCGGAGGCAGCGTGATCGCCTTTCGCCTAAGAACAAGAAGCTGCTGCAGCAGATCCTGCGACAGTTTCCAAAGGACAGATTTGAGGACAGGGTGCGACTTATGGAAGTTTCCGAAAAATTAATGGCCAAGCCGTGTACAGATGCTTCTGTTGCGAAGGCAAAGATGGACTTGGAGGCCTCCAACAGAACTGTGCCTTCTCAACAGAAGCCCTGTGATATCAAGACCCAACCTAAGGTGGACAAACTGCTGGCCAGGATTAATGCCGATTTGCGAGAACTACAACGGATCGATAAGGAGACAATGGAAACCATGGCTGACATACGCATCCTGAAGTCCACCATAGAACATCTGAAAGGCGGCACCAGTGTTAAGATCACTCCCTATGTGGTCCGGCGCAGTTTCTTGGATTTAAAGAAAGCTTATCCAAGGGATATAAAGGCCACCATCGGCATAACTCGAAAGAACCGGAAATACATTACACGGGAAGAGTTGGACATCCGGCCTCCATACATTCTGGACCATGTGCCGCAACTGACGCCCGACACCTTTAAATTTCTGCAGATGAATTCCAAGCGCAAACACTGATCCTCTGCTTCTCTGGTGGGGGACAATAATTTATTATGCCAAGAATTAGTCTACTTAATCATAGTCTAAATGAACATGTTCTATGCTACGCTAATCCTGTCCAGCTTCCGTTTGATATTTACAATTTACAATAACAACTAAACTCAGTGAACATCCCAGGTCCCTCTCCTCTGCAGGATGATCATTGAACTGAAGTTCCGGGGCTTGGCTCCTTTGCGTGGCACTTGTATTGGATCTCCCTCTAGCGGACACCCCGAACTCCTGCTAATCTCGGATTTTGTGCAGCTGCTCGTTCCCAACGATATCTGCTTTTATGGCCTGCCTCTGTGCTTTGTGGTGGCTTCTTTCCGGACATCCTAACAGAAGCCCGGATTGGTGTGCTCGATTATGCAGCGCTTGCAATACTTCTTGACCGCCCGGTAGCCCTCGATGGACACCGGGCAGTCCTGGATGTTTAGCTGCTGTAGTCCGCGGCAGTAGTAGGCGATACACTGAACCCCCCGGTCCGTGATCATGTCGCAGCTACGCAGGCTCAATTTCTTCAGGTTGGGACAGCTCTCGGCCAAGGCCCTTAGTCCAGCGTCGCTGACATCGCACTTGCCAATATCCAACGCCCTCAGCCGGGGACAGGAGCGGGCGAGGACCGTAATGGAGTCATCGCTGACGGCCTCGCATCCTCGGGCGTTCAAATACCTGAGCTTGTAGCACCGCCTGGCGATGACCTTTAGCCCGGCGTCCGAGACCCGTTCGCACTTGGCCACAGAGAGGTAGCGAAGCGCCGCTCCCAGCTTGGCCAACTCATATAGGCCAAAGTCGGTGATGTTCAGGCAGTCGGACACGCTCAACTCCTTCAGTGAGACGCAGAAGCTGGGCACGAACTTTAGACCCGCATCTGTGGAGGATAAAAGTTAGTACGATTTAGATGCAGATCTCCGGAAAACTTACCTGTGATTTGTATGCAGCGCCGCAGGTACAGATACACCAGCTGTGGACAGTTCTTCACCACGATCTTCAGGCCCATGTCGTCGATGGCCATGCAGTCGGTGAGGTCCAAATACTGCAGCAGCAGGCGTCGCGGTGGCTCTACGTGAGGATTGGGACTGATGCTGCTTACCTGACTGCAGCCTGAAAATAATAAATGGTTTGTATTAGTAACCCACAGTCTCATCTCAATATTATTCCCCTCTCACCTGTGACATCCAGATGCTGCAGGTTGCTGCACTTGGTCAGGGCCTCGACCAGTGCCTGGTTCGAAACGTCCACACAGGTCTGCAGCTGCAGGTGAGTCAGTTCCGGGCAGCGACGCGTGAGCAGCTGGAGTCCCTTGTCCGTGATGCGGCAGCCGTCGCCAAGCATGACACGCTCCACCTCCGGACAGGCGCCGTTGCAGCTCTGGCCGCACAGCTGCCGGAAAATCATCTTCAGTGTCTTGTCGCCGTTGAGGTGCTCGCCCCGCAGCGATATCACCTTCCACAGCACGGGCCGCCAGGCGAGGTGCTCGAATCTCCGGCAGACCCGCGCCACGTTACACAGCTCGCAGCTGTCCAGCCAAGAGAAGATCTTGACAACGGCCTCATCAGGCAAGCGATCGAAGAGCGGGCCGCAGCGGAAGGGACCCTTGCGGTTCCAGGGCGGCGGCCCGATGGCTGTACCAGGTCCCCCTCCGCTGCTAGAGACTCCTCTCCGCGGCGTTGTGGCCGGCGTGCTGCTGGCCATGATTCCCGCTCCACTGGCAGTGGTGGAGCCGGTCACATTGCCCGCGCCACTCGAATGGTGACCTGTGGGTGAGGGCGACACCAATGTGGCATAGCCCTGGTCCAGGCTCGGCGAGAAGCGCCCTAGGTTGCACAGGCCGTCTGACAGGCTCTGACCTTTGGTGTGGTGGTGGTCCAGCTGGAAGGCGTTGGCGGGCGAGTTAGTGCTCCGGTTCAGGAGGTAGCGGTCTGAGCCGCTCGTCTCGCTGGGACTGGAGGTGCGCGGGTGGTGCAGGCGTTCTGGAGGGGCAACAAGGTATTTAAATTAATAAATTATATAAATAAATAAAAATTCGAATTCCTCACCTGGCAGTCGCTCGTTCCCGCTGCCGCTGCTGTAGTCCTCCAGGTAGTAGCGCTCGTTTTGGTACTGACTCGCCTCGGCGCCCAAAGGCAGGGCTCGCAGGGCATTGCCCAGATACAGGGACTCCATCTTCTTGTCCAGAAGATACTGGGCGCCACTGCTGGCGCTGCCGTTGCTGCCCAGCACAGTGGGTACACTACAGCGTCCGCCTTGGACGCGTCTTCTACCGGCTCCTCCTGCTCCTCCACTGCCACTCCCCGTGCCTCCACCTGCATTGTTGTCACTGGAATCCTCCGTATCGGCACTGTTGCCGTGCATCCAACTGGGTCGCTGGGCTCCGAATTGCAGGACATGCTCTAGGGTGAGGAAGTTGCGCGGCTGTGGCACAGGCGCCACGTTTCTCGTGGCAGGGGCGGGCAGCTCGGGTGACTTCTTGACGTGCCGTCCCACAGAGGCAGTGGAGTGGGCTCCATAGCTGGCCTGTTCCGGACGGGAGTGGCGACTTCTTAGCTCAAAGGTGGCAGCCTTTTGCTGCACCATGTGAAGCACTGCTGCCGCTGTAGATGAGGCGGTGGCCTGCTCATTGGGCGACGTGGAATCCATACCAGGATTGGGTGACTTCCGAGACATCATTTTGTAGGCCTGTGGGTCCAGCGGACTGGAACTTAACGGATGCGGGTGATGATAGTGATCGCGCACCGCATTGCTGTTGCGGCCCAAGGAGGCTAATGGACACTCCAGGTCGCTGGTGCGACGGCTGCCGGTTTTGTGCGACATGATTGGATCCTCTTAAGGACTAAGCTGTCGGCAAGTGGCCTCTAAAATGGCGATGAAGTCTGGAAAAAGAGAAGAGATTGGAATGTATTGGTGAGTATTTGATATATTATATATCTGAGAGCTTAAGTTTAATGTTAATCATTTAACTTAGCTAAATAGATCTTTTGACTGGCACACCTTCAAAATCTTTGATGACTCAGAATTTCCCCAAAAATCTATACCAAACTTGAACTTTTAAATGTATCAAAACAGAATTCTATAAGGTCGTAAACCCAAATCGAAGTCTGACAGATAGACACAGACATTTATCGATGGCCTGAGCTTGTGTCGCAGCCTGGAAAATGGAATTTATATCTGCGATGGCCATGGGAACCATGGAATGTGTGGTGGACGCGTGTGGGCAGCATTTAGTGGGTCTGCATACCACTCGCAATTATTAGAGAAAAAGCACTGGCACTGGAGAGTCATAACTGGGAGTCATAAAGTGTGTTTTTACTTTGACCACTCCTCCAAAAGTTTACTGCAGTTGACCTTTCGGATCCATTCAGCATTCAAAGCTCTCTGGCAATTTGTGGGTGAAATGAGCTTGGGACTGTTGCCAAACAAATCGCTCTGCGCACATATATATTTTTACAATTAATAAGGGGATCGCCCACGCTCGGATCTTTGAATCCGAAATCATTGGTTAGTTTTTTGGGGGCTGCTTTATGTGTGTATATATCTTTTATTTGGCCACACGTATGCTGTCATTTCCATTGAGCCCTGGCTGGCTGGCTGCTCCATTCATCGTCGGGAACCAGTTTGCTGCAGGTGGGGACTGGCGGAGGAGTTGGAGCCATCGAGGAAGCGGCAGAAGGCGTGGGCTGGCTTGTGGCCATCCGCAATTTGGCCCGCTGTTATTGGGCTAACCTTAAGACCTTAAATTAAGCCGAAAGTAACCCAATTCGGCTGGGCGGGGGGAACAACAAAAGATCTCTTGTTCCCGCAGAAGCCATAACCATTCTCTTTACAGATTCTCGGGGGCTCTGCATAATTTACTCGGCCAGCTATCTAAATAGAAAACCATAAATTCATATCACATTTTTCGTGGCCAAGTCTTCCCCGGCATTTCTGGGTGGGGTCTTGGCCGGATCCGGGCACGGGGCACACCTACGGAAAACGGGGACTGGCGCGGCACACTTCGGATCTTCGGGACGAGTAAGTCAAAAAAGCAGCTCACCTAGCCTAGCGATCTCTGTTTGGCTTTGGCTTTATTTTTATTGTAATCAAATTTGAAATTAATTTCGATTTTTGTGTTGTATCATTTCTGGCCGCGCCATAAATAAACACAAATAGGCAGCAATAATAACACTGGGGCCTAGCACACTCGGAGCACAGCCGACAGAAATATGTCTTGTCATTTGGCTTATGGCAGCTGATTAATCTTAGCATCTCCGAAACCGAAACCGAGACCAAATCCCCATAACCAGACCAATACCATAACCAAAACCAAAACCAAAGCCGAATCCGAATCCGATGTGAAGTGGAGCCGCCGCCTGTCGCCTGTCGCGCCTCATATGGAATGTCGCTCAACTGGTTCGAACTTCCCAACGAAAAAAAAATGAAGAAAAAATCAGGGGTAAAGAAAGGAAAATGCTCCGAGCCAGAGATCACTCCACTCCACTCCACTCGAGAGAGGTATTTGATTTTCTCCTAGGCCATGGCTGTGCGTTGCCATAATTCACAATAGTTGGACAATAAATAATTAATAAAGCACGCTCGGTGTGTGGACAAAAGTGTCAAATGGTTCATTGGGCAACACAGCATGGAATTTGCATAAATTTACATGCAAATGTAATACATTCTGTTTGTTTTTTCATTCTTTGTCTACGGCTAGAGGGCTGGAATATCATTAGTAAAGCATTAAGCCTTGTAAACAACCTACACGGAGCTGGTAGAGTTCTTGTTGGCCAACACATTAGGGTTAGATTAGGATTTTAACAAAGTCTTTAAGTAAAATGTAAAAAGGAGAAAGTTTTCTATTATAAGTATTTCCATTTAGTGTCTAAATAAATTAATTTAAATGTCTATAAGAGCCTTTAAGTTGTATTGGCTTACCAATAAATTTAGATATTATTAAATGACTAGTTAAGACGCTTCAACTAATTATGTTTGCACAAATATTCACCGTCTTATCGGCAATCAACGATAGCATTCATGTTCTCACAATTAATTTTATATCCCGGATTACCTTCGTATCTGTCAAGTTGCCCAATCAATTGCCATTCAATTAAAGCGCATATATATTTCACAATTTTATGAAGCAAATAAAAATTGAGAATCCACAGCTAAGGCCAAAACACTCGGCGTCCGGTCATCATCTGTTGGAAACTGGTCCATGTCCGCATCTATCGCGATCCGAGTCGATGTTCCTATCTCCATCTTTACGTGCTTGTTCATATTTCCCCGTCCAAGAGCCGGAGCCAAGCCTCTTCAAGTGCGCTCAACGAGCACACAAACGAGCACATAAAATATGACAACAACAAGTACTAATTATTTAATATGCTTAATGAGCAAATGTCGCCATGCTGGTTGCCCACAGTGCACTCGAACAAGGCGAGACAGCCTCGGCACAGTGGGGGTTGCAGTGGGAAAGTTGTAAAATATAACTACCGGCCATGTTTAATAATAGTATTAAATGTGATCTCAATTTTCGGTAAGAGTTGTGGAGTTTTAATTAAATTCATAGAAGGGTAAATTAATATAATTAAATAGTGTTTTGGAAATCTATTTACTATTAATATTATTTACTCCTGTCTTTTAAGGCTGCCTATTCTTCATTCATTAAAGATTTGCGGATTTATGAAATACCATTTTATTTAAATTAGAAACAATATACTTCTTTCCAAAATAATTAATATATATTTATTAATTAGTTCCATGAATCTAAGTCGTTACAGACTTGTGGTACTAAGTAAGACATTTATCAAAAATAAATAAATAAATCTTAAATAACTTTATTACCAAAAAAAGTCTACAAACTTTTAATTTGTCTACCTGAAACTCAATTGTGTGTCAAATTTGTAAGTACTTTCGCAACTCAAGACTCAATGAACAAATCAATGATTTTCTCCACCTCAGCGATTAACTTTTCCGAGGCAATCTCTGCGCTCGTAGATCCCATTGGCCACACTGTGCGCTGTGTCAAACTAATAACTGCTATTTTCTACGTTTGTGTGTGGCGACCGTTGTCTGCACATGGTTGAAATCTAACGCCGAAAGGCAACAACAACAGCAGTAACAGCTTGGCGCCACACCGAGGGCAACAACAGCAACCATGCGGAGTGAGCACCTTTTGGCCTCCAAGCCTCGGCATGCTGAGCGGCTGGCCTGGCCCCAAGTCCGCAAGTCTGGCCCCAAAGCGTGTATGCACTTGGAAAACTACTTAGCTAGAAGCTAGAAGGCTAGCAGCATTCCCAAATCTTTTAAGCTTAAAGCACAGCTTGGAAATAAGATAAAGATAGATCTAACATAATCAAACGAATTATTTTCTCCTTTCCTAAACTTTAACCAAATTAAAAACATTTTTTCTAATTAAATGTGATATATTTCTTCGAGTGTACGTGAGTGTGCGAACGAGTATCTGTGTGTGGCTACTGTATTCTGCAGCAATTGCCGCTCTGTGGGTTGGCTTTTTGCATAGTGTCAATTTTGATTTAGCAAAACGTTGCCTTTGGTATTGAAGTTGCTGTTGCTTTTCTCGTTACTGTTGCTTTTGCAGTTGCTGCTGCGGCTCCAGCGGCTGTCAGCGCACCCGCCTAACACCTCCTGGGCATATAGACACCCACACACGCGGACAGCTCGGCGCTGCCTAGAAAGTGGGTGGCGCTGACAAGTTTTTATATAGTTTTTTTGTTTTTCTTGAAAAATAAGCAAAACTCATAAAAAATATTTCTTGCGCATGCCAGCGAAATACAAACTGGGCGCAGCATCTACTTGATTTTCTCAGCGATTTCACAGAAAATGCAATTAGCCAGGCATACCTTAACTTATTTAAGTCTCATTTATTATTTTTGTATTTTTGCTACAACATTATGTTACCTAGATTGCAATCTTTGTTCTATTTAAGCTCCATCTTTGCTGGTTTTAAAATTAATTGGCAAGGCAAACCTTTCGGCAGCGCCTTTTGGTCTCAAAATTGTTGCCATTCCCAGCACCACCGAAGAAGATGAATCTCTGACAGCTCTGGGACGTGGAGTTGTAGAACCAATTGCGCAGAAGAGCCTTCCCGGAGCCCTGTTCTAGTGGCTGAAGGCATCTGCGTTTGACTAAACATCCATTAATTATTATATTACCATATATTTTGTGGTAGAAACCACTTACTCGAATAACCGGGGTGCAGACAGAGTACCAAGAGAATAAGCACCCACGAAATCTTCAACAGCATGGTGTAAGAATTGAAACTAACATGGCAATTCCATTACAATAGCTTTTATATCATCAAAGATTCTTGCTCAACTGGCAGTAGTTATTAAATCAGGTGGCACAATGTGCTATTGTAACATAAACTAATATTTTGATAGGTGCTTGTTTGAAATCATTTGCTTTTTATTTGAACTTGCTTTATTGACTTCTTTAAAGTCATAACAGAGAGTGACTGAACTATAAAAGGTTAGCAGTGACAGGTGTTACTTTGGTGTTGACAAAATTACAATGTTTATTATTTAAAATGAAAGAAATTACAAAATATCACATAAGAAGGACTATAAAATCTTTACAAATTACTCATTTAGAGAATTGCATATTTCTATGCTTGAAGTTTCCCAAATGGTATATATCTTATTTTTTGCACTTATTTATGCAATTCAATCTAGTCAGAAAGTTATTTCCATTTCCAAAATTAATTCCACAAAAGGTGAACTTGAGGCATCTGTTCAGATTCCATTTATAGTACCAGCGGGTTCTACAAAATGTACCTATGCCAGTTTTCATTGGAAGACGGCAGGTAAGTAATTCTAAGTACCAAAATGATTAGAAATAATTTGAAATACAATATATTTTTTCGAGCTCTACTTACGACTGCTGGGAGGTGTAGAGACCATTAAGATCAGATAGAGATATAACCATTTTAACAGCATGATTTATGTGGGACTCGTTGTAAGCTGATAAATGCAAAAGGTACGAATATTAACCCGCTTTTATAGGGGAATTAATAAGCCATAGACGAGTCTCGAATTAAACACCCTATAAACCTTAAAACGTTAACGATGCGCATTTTTATTAAACATTTTAAATAATCAGTTGGTTGTTTTATGGCCGAATATTGTTTAGGCTAATCTAAAAGCGAGCTTACCCCACTTATTACCTATAAAAAGTCAAAAATATATATTTATTTTACGGCCTTCTGCGCCAATTAGGCGCTCTTTAAACACCAAAATATTTATTTTAACACATTTAATTGGCCGGCACAACAAATGAACTCGGCTAACCGTACATTTAAGTTAAATGAACTTTATTCTCGCCTGACTCGGTGACTCCTCGTGTTTCTGTTGTGTCTATGCAAATATGCGAAGAAAAGAATTGAAAGTTGACACAGTTCACAAAGAATTCGAAATTTTTTGCAAATATCTACATATATGAAAGGGGTGAGAAGAGAATGTGTTGGCTTTATTAAAAATGTTTGTCTTGCCAATGAGATATATCTTTGCGTATGAATGCATAAATAGGCATTCATTATGGGTATCAAGGTAGGGTTCCAGCTCAATAGGCCCGCTGATGGGATATCGGTGAAAGAGATCGATCTGGGTAGAAAGTATTGAATGGAACGAATGAAGATTCATTGTGGTAGCGGAATTAATTAGAGCATTCAGCCGGGCTCAGAGCTAGGCGATTCTGCGGATGTCTGCATATTCTCTCAACTGTGCCTCCCCCCACCCCGCTGCTAACTGTAAATTATTGGAATTTTGTCTCAATTTGTAGATTCTGCAATCTCAATTACTTGGGCAAAAAACTTTCTCAGGAAGCTGCTCAGTGACTGTGGAAAAACTCGTTTAGATTTCCACTTTGCCATCGCTCAATTTTGCTTCTTCGGTCACTTTTTTGTTTTTTTTTGTCGAGAGCTGATTGATTTGATAGTGCAAAAAATATTAAATATATATATCTAGAAATTGATTTCTTGATGACTGCGCGGCTATCCATCAAAATTGGAGTTGCCACAGTTTGTGGCTTCGCTTCTCGTTTTTGTGTAAAGTCTCCTTAATGGTTTTGTGCCATTTCTTTCGTCATTATCTGTAACCAAAGATTTCACCGGACCCATTAAAGGGGAACGCGCAGCATTTTAGTCAAACTAATTAAACCGCATCTTATATAATGAACCGTGAACGAAACGGCCAAGAGGGAAGGCGAACATGGCGATGGCGATTGAAACATTGAGACTGTCATCAATCAAACGCAAATTCTTGTGGAGCTTCTTCTGCCCGGCTCTCTCAGGCATAATTCAAATTCCAGGCGAACCAGTTCGTTGCTTCAGTCTTTTGTTCTGGCCGTGGCCCCGAAAGGCAAGAACAAGCCCCGCACTTTTGGCAGCAAACTGCAGATAAAGCGTGGCTTAGCCCGAAATTAAATACCCAGCCAGGGCAGCCAGGGCGGTCAGAGCGGAATAAATCACAAAATAAGACACAGAAACGAGGCGAACTCATTGCAAATTACATGCTGTTCCCAAAAAGGGGAGCGAGGCTGTGGTGGAGCGCTGACGTTGACGAGGCCAGCACAGTTTCGGACGTGAATGATGGCACGGCTAATCCCCGGATCGCCAAATCCCCGAATCCCAGATCTCCAGATCCCCAAAACCGAGACACATAAATCCAGGCCAAGTCAGAGTCCAATAAAAATGTCGAGCAAATGCAAAAAGCGACAAATGCTTGACGGACCAAATGTCACAGTTAATTTATCTAAAAGCTTTGCCCGACTTTTCAAATATAGACAAAGAGCCAACCCCGCAGAGCCGAAAAAGAGAGCTAAGGGGGAGATCGGAAAATTTTAATTAAGACAAAATATTTGAGATTCTGCACAAGACAACGAGGTCTCTCTAACAAGAAGCCAACAATTTGCCGCGCGCAATTTTTCAAATTACATTTCATTAGACAGAGAGCAAGAGAGTCGGAGAGAAAGAGATGGCGGAGATGATCGGGTGATAAGTGGAAGAGAAAATCCAGCGAATGTAAAGCACCGTTTTGCCTCACTCTTTGGCAGCTTTTCACCTGGAGAAAGAGACGGGCTAAGAGACTGAGAAACTGGTTTATCTCCGGACGCCCGCATGCTGGAGGCCATAAGACGCCCGCATAGGCAACAGGCGGCGACTGCTGAAGAGACCGAGACCGCTCCACTCGGCTCTTTCTGCCATCTAATATGCCACACATAAATTTGTTAACAAATTCAATTTTAAAGTTCAGCCCGCAATGCCCTGCGACAACAGCAACAGGCCGCAATTGCGACTGCAACTAAAGCAGCAACTATGTCAGTCACTCGGCAACATTGCCAACTAGCAGGCGAAACAACATTCCAGCTGCCTCCTGCCCCCGGTCCGCCGGTCCCTCCCTGCTTCAACCTGTCCCCCCTCGTCAAGTCTGTAACTAGCTGCAGCTACAAGTTGCCGTTTCTAATACAAAACTGTCGCTTGTGGCGTGAGAGACCGCGCTAGACCAGCTCTCTTGGCCACGATTCGCGTCGAGCTTTGGCTCTGGCTCTGGCTCCACGGCGAAATAACAAAAAATGAAAATAAAAATAATGGAAAAGGAAAAAAATATATATAAATAATAAAAAAATACGTCGCATTGCATTTTAGTATTTGCTGATTGCGCTGTTGCAAGAGCTATGAAATCATACAAACAGACACATAAATACCCGCAACCCGTACATACAACCCGTACGACGGGAGACATACAATAAAAGTTGTGGACAAGAAAGGAAAGTCGATTAGCCGGAGGTGAACCTCGAATGGGAGATACCCTGTGGCTAACAAATGCTAATCAAGTTCCCTAATATAGGCATTAGGATCTAGGCCTGCACTCAAATATAATTGGAAAGATAATGATCACTAAGATAGTCCAATGATAAATAGCTGGAAATTTTTGTATATGACCTTGTCTTGTGGGCTTTTTATGAAATTCTTCTTTGCACCTGTTTTCAATTAATCAAGTTCTGAGCTTAAGAGTTGATTAAATCCGCTTTGAAGCAAGTATAAATAAAACATCTAGGTCTACGCCACGGAATTGAATTGGGCTTATAAATAGAATAACTTTTTAACCTTTTATGAATTTGGTTTTTTGTACCATAAGCTTCAGAAAAAACTGAACATATTTCTTTAAATACTTTTTTAAGAACTCTGATAATTAAAACGAGTATGTTTTCAAATCAATAAGTTGGATTATAATAAGTATGTTCATATTTTAAATTTTCCATTTCAATAAATCACCCAACTTCTCGCCACAGTTAATGGACCCGAAAGAGAAAAGTTAAAAATATATAAATACGAGATAAATAACGACAAAAACTGTTGAAAATCTCATGAAATCGGCGAGTGGCTTTTCCATGTCTGAGACGGGCAGCGGCGACGGCGGCAGCCTTTTGGCTTGAAAGCTTTTTGGCTCTGATTGCCAGCTTTGGGTTTATGCTTGGAACTCGGATTGGGATTGGGATTGGGGCTTCGGGCCATGGCTGACTCTCCGAGTGGCCAACTGGCCGGCTGCTGGTCGCTGGACGCTGTCACGGCATTGTGCATATGTTGACATTTTTGCGGAAAATACTTTGAATTGTTGGGTAAATGCATAAATAAATGGACGGCATGGAGTCTTTCGGCGCTTTCGATTCGCCGCTGGCAAGGAAAGTGTGGGTCTGTCTGCCAAACTGTTGTGGCAAGCCGGCTGACAGATATCAAATGACCAATTTGTAATCATTTAACATGCAAAAATTACAAGGGAGAAGCAGACACAATAAATATGTTGCCTGCTGGTTTTCGGTTTGGGTTGGTGTATCCATATGGTTTCAAGGGGAATCCCCTCGGGCTTTTTGCTAATGATGTGAATAGCCGAAAACATTTGCCCGACACGTGTGGAACACGGCTTGAACCGAGACCCAGAAACTATTTACGATTCATGGATCTGGGAGTTTCGTGGAAAAATATAAAAATATGGCCATCTTTGCGGGGGAAAAAGGAAAGTCGTTTGCCGAATAATTGCCAGGCGAAATTCAATCAGTTGGCCATAAACATATCCGCTGCAGCAACTCCTAGTTGAGTTAATGACCAGCCGAGGCATCCCGACTTCCTCAACGGCTATAATTTGCATGCAAACGCTGCGCCGAGAGGGTGTATCTGAATCTGCATCCGTATCTGTATCTGTATCTCTATCTGTATCTGCATCGGCATAGGTAACTGCGTCTGTGGTGGTGCGAACGAGTTATATACCAAAGTGGTGCATGCAGCAGCAGCAGCAGCAGCGACGACAACAACAATAAATATATATCTCCAGAGGTGTGATTTTAATGTGACAACTTTTGCAACTGGTTCGTGCGTTCGGTGGTTCGGGTTCGTTCGACTGGAGTTTTCCACTCTTTTGGCGAGGTGTCACAGGGAATAGAGGCGTTCGTGTACGAATAATTCCATTAAAGTTT